TTTTAGAATTAAGGTCCTTTTTAAAATTTTTGCTCTGGAAACATGATTCTAGCGGAACCGGGTTATGCTTGTCGGAATGAAAAATAGAGACGTTGAATCAAAAACAAAAAATAAAGACGCGACGTCTGAATATAATTCTCAAACTAAATTAAACTGAATTGTAGCGTGTAGGATCCGATTCGCAGAGTTATAAAATCAAACTGCTCTATATTAAAACGTATAAAAATGGATATGCAGATTGTTTGAAGGTTCGCGTGAGGCTAACTTAGCTACATTTTGGTATGATGTATTTGCCTTTTTATTCCCAATGGAGTACACTCATAAGGATTTCATTGCCCATCCAAAGGATCAAGGCAATACCCAAACAAACAAGTGAAACTAAACTGTTAAGCAAACCACCTTTAAAGAACCTCTAGACATGGATACCCGAAGCCATACTCCTCCTAACACAACTCCCACCGCCTGTCAAATTTTGGAAGCTTCGATACGCTCAGATCAAGGGCGCAACAAGAAATTATGACCCCTCGTCAATAGTTTAGTTGAACTCCAAGTTTGGCAACCTCGCTAACAAAGCCACAAAATTTTAAGAAGGCCATCCAGGCAACCATAATTCAAGACAACTTACATTCATTAACAGCAACTTAAGGTAATGTTAGCACAAAAAATCCAAGGCTGTTCAACACCAGCTCAGGGAAATGGTCAGCTGAAGATATCAGTCACGGAAAACACAAGATATCAGTTGATGTTACGGGCCTGTCTAGGATCCACGAGTGACATAAGAAATAATAATAGAATAGGAGAATGTGGATCCACAGGATATGTGATCTCAGAGGCTAGTTAAATAAAATAACACGATCTTAAGAGGTAAGACTCGTCATAAATGGCAATATGAAGAGAAAGGAAGTGCCGTAGCAGAGAAAGTGTATCACTATTGTGGAAGCTATAAATAGGGACACAGTTTTGTTCTCGCAATTTACTGTGTCTCAATTCAGTACTTGTACATTTTATTGAAGTCAAGCAGCTCCTCCCATTACAAACTATGTGTCCTTCTTATTTACACTCGTTCAAACGTCTATTTTAGGCTTAACTTTGTTTAAGACATAACAGCATGACAATTCCGAACATCAATATGGCTAGGAGCCTAGGACCACTGGACTAGTTAGCTGACAAACTTTTATTCAAATACACCCCTAAGTCGAAATATTAACTTGGTGCATGTCCAATCTTATTCACAGGTCATCGGGGCAAAAAGTAATTAATAACAAGGTAATAAGGAAAGAGAATCTCAAATTAGGTGTCTGCTCATCTTGTAAAGAATGTGCAGAAATCTGTGCTTTCCCGAAGCACCAACAAACATATAGGCAATGTTTTCAGCAAGTAGAATTAGGAAAGGCAGGAACAAAAATGATGGTAATATCCTGGGCAATTGATAAATACATGCAACTGCACACAAGCCAAAAAGCCACTACTTAGCCACAACAACTTGAAATATATATTCTCGAGTCTATTCTTAACCACTTTTTTGTTTCGTTTTAAGGAAAGCTACCCCATCACGCCGTGCTTTCGGATCTCAAAAAGGAATCAGAAGTCAGAAACACAAAGGAAATGTGTTGCAGAGGTCATGCTACGAGTCTGATAAACAAGTTCAACTGGCATGTCAAATAATGCAACTATTCATCAAATACTCATGAGTCACTTCTTAGTTCTTATTTATCCTTAATTGAGTTTCGATACTAGAAATGGTTATCAATAAACGGCAAATATGCCAATTGAATACAGCAAAAACCGCCCAAGACATCACTGCTGTTTTCAAGTCAGAAGGATCCGTGACCACAAAACCAAAATGAAGACCCACTTGGTAACGACAATACTTCTTTTTTCCCAAATCGTATCGTGTATACAGGCTGCATTATCACAAAATCAAATAATAGGCAACTACAGGCTACGATTAAGATCAAGCATGTTCAATTACACACCAAAATTTACAACTTTCCCAAACCCTGCCAGTGTAATTACAAAAGAGCCAGAGTACGGAAAATTACCTCCTCGTTGCTTCTCAGAATGCTTCATTGAGCGAATTTACTATTCACTTTCCTCCTCTGTTTTGAAATTTCAACCTCTACTAAGAAGAAGGAAAGACGTCCTTAACAGCTGAGGCAGCAGTCAAGTAATTAAGCGTGTTTCTTAAGGTTTCCTTCTCCCTCTTCAATCTTGTGGCAGTGTCCTCCAATTCAAGCAAAGCTTGCTGCTCTCTAGGCGCGCCCTCGAATGTGCTGCCTACAAAGAAAGAAAAAGGCGTGGGAAAGAGGTTCCTTCTCAAATCCCCCACTTCCTTCTCCGGTTTTCCCCCCAGTCGATTGGATAAACGTATGACATCTTTCATATAGGTCTCCACCTCAGTGGCCAAACCGTCAAGGTCCTCTTCGCCATTCGCGGACGGCCTATCCTCGAGCCAGGTCACTTGAGCGACCAGGTAGGGCTTGGTGCGGACAAGGTTGGTGACGCGGAACCGCTCTTGGCCTTTACAGATTAAGAAGAAACGGTCATCGACGAGGCGCTCGTGCTTAATGACTTCACCGACGCAGCCAACGTCGGCTGTGCCGGAAAGAGCGTCGGAGTAGATAACCCCGAAACGAAGATCGGTCTGAAGGAGAGTGTGCATCATGATGCGGTAACGGAACTCAAAGATCTGCAAAGGAAGGATAGCGCCGGGGAAGAGAACAAGGGGAAGAGGGAAAAGAGGGAGTTCCACCACGTCGTCTGATTTGGGGGAGTTGGTGTGGTGCTTCTCCGAGAAAGATGAGGCAGAGCAGCGGAGGGAATCATGCCGCCGGCGGCGACGGAAGTGGGGGAGGCGGCAGCGAAGAAGAGGCCGTGAAGGGAAATGAAGATTAGGATTGGAAGAGTAGGCAAGTTTATTGGGGTTGAAGGACGAGGAAGATGAAGCAGAGGGGATGAGTTGGGGGAATGCCATTTGCGTCATTCCAAGTAGAGAGGGAAGGCGTTTATGGGGTTTGTTTCTTTATGGTGGGGGTGAAGAGAGAAAGGATTATGTGGAAGACGTGAGCTTGTTATTGCGGGGATTCCTCTCAGCTGTGTATGGAGACTGTGATTTTCCACTCATATCTGTCTGAATCCAATTTCTGCTTTTCGATCATCCTTACAGATTTTTAAAAATCTCGTGGCTTGACGCCTAGCCCATTCTCTGTGGACGATAAGGTGAGAAGAAGTGAGACGAGTGTGCCTACATGCGGTCATGGGCTTTCCACGTGCCGTCAAGCCCTAAATCACTTCCTAATCCTTTCTTTTATTTTCCGAAGGAAATCTTGAAATTTCTTTTTTAAAAAATTCTACCATGAAAAAAATAATGAGATGGCAAGGGCGACAATGACTCCTTCAATCATTGTCATGGACCAAAAACAAAAATCTCGAGTCGTCGAAAGAGAAGGGAGAGCTAATGGGGGGCTATTTTTGGGGCCGCCTAAGATGATTGAGTAATATACAAAAGCATTCTCCAGTCTCGTGAATGGGGTGCTCTTTCACCTTGCTTTTGAAAGTAACTTGGAATAGGAATTAGGAAAGACAGCCAGACATTTTATGCTTGTTTTACAAAAGTTGAGCTAGTAATGGATGGACTCAACGGTTTGAAGAAGGAAGCATTGGTCTCCCGCTCCTAGTCTTGTCGGGAACTGGGATGCCATATGCGTAATGGAACTTAAAGCATACAAGGAATAAGTACGTAATCCCGAAATTCCTAGAGCATCCTTGGTTTTCCATTTTAAGTGATGTTCCCCGCAGGAATTCGAGCATCAATCCTCTCTTTTGAAGCAGACTGCGGACCCTGTCGATCATTATCATACTTCCATTCCTGTTTCTGAGTCAATATACAAACTGCACATATTCTTGTTTCCATTAAAGCGTCCGAACTAATCAAAGTCAAATCGCCAAACAACCAATCGCTCAGTTTTTCAGAGTCTGAATCCTAATGAATTTGCATGAATGAACTCTTCTTAACAATGTTAATTGAAAGTAAAGTATAACATTCTCCCAGAGATGGCAACTCTATCAAATGCTCTTCATTCTTCTAAGAATAAAACTCAAAGCGGTCTTGTAGATTTAGCCATCTCATACAACATCGCAGATTCAGCTATTTAGGGGCCATTTCATATTTTGCATTGAGTCTGCTAGCTAACAACTGCCAAGTCAAACAGGCTTAAATTCACTGCATGCTAAAAACCACTCCTTTACAACGAATCAATCACAATGAACCAAGAATTTTCACAGGGAGGCAATGTACTTCTGCTTGCTCATGCTCCCCCCCCCCCCTCAATTCTTTGATTTGGGTTCAGCAACTGCAGGTGTATTCAAGGTTCGCTTTACAAGAGATATTTTCCAAGGATTCCCACCTAATTCTTCAAAAATAACTATCAAGTTGTTGGTTGGCTTTAACCAGGATCTGGGAACGTGATACCTGCAAAATTGCATTCATCCACAAAATCAAATGGGAAATATCTACTCATCTGCTAACAAGCATAGAAGGAGATTATTAGATCCATAACAGAGGAGATAAGAGAGTAATGCCCAAAATTGAAACTTAGAGAACAGATCAGTTAGAGTACCATCGTTGGGTGGGTTTTCCACAACCAAGTTGGCAATTATCAGGCCGGAAAGTGCCAGAATAGGAGCAAGAGTTGCAGTCACCTTTTGCATAAGCCAACCAATACCTTCCTATGCTCTCACCGTTGATCCACACTTGACCCTTTCCCATGCTGCCCATGTCCAAGGCCAATGCTTCATCTCCTTCCGGTGCGTCAAAATAGCCTGCAATGTTTCAACTTTACTGTTAATCACCTTTTGCAATGTTTCTTGTTGCAGCCCAATAATTTTCCTTACCTTGTGCCATTTAAGTTGCTGCTGGCTTTGGGCAGCTAGTGACTCTTGTACCCAGTCAACAGATGAAAACCCATTAGGAGATACCAAATTCATAGCCTCTCCTTTAAGCCCAATCTGTTCAACAATATGCCATGATTATTAAAATGAAATACTTTAATTGAAGCCTGCATAATCAATATAATGTTTCTTTACGCATGGGACCTGGTAAGACCATTGTTGCCAAGTTAAATCTTTGGTTCCCTTGTCAAGACCCTGAATCAAAACTGGGCCATTGATCCCTGTCTTCCATGTTTCAAAATGAAGACCGACATTCTTCCAACAGAGACAGAAAAAGGGAAGAAGTCAGTGGCTAACAATGCTATGTGTAAACTCCACCCTGATTCTCACAAAAGCAAGACATTGGCTTTGTACTGATTACTAACCGGTAATCCAACAGCTACGCTGAGAAGAGCGATTTTATTAGTTCCAGGGCGTAGATTGACCGGACCATTAAATTTGCAACTAGTTTGTTCCCTTGTCCCAAAAGCAGACCCTGCAAAAGACGTTGCCTAAGATATTTCTTGACTTTGATATATTGATTTAATGTGCGAAGATCACAACTACTGAGTTAAACTTAAATTACTTACCTGAAAATTGCCCATTAACGAACACATGGACGGCATGGCCTGACGACTGAACGATGATACTGGGTTTCTGTCCTCCTCGAAGAAATGATTCGGAAGAGCTAATGTCCACACTGTGACATGTAAACCGGAAAACAACTAAGTTTATGACGTATTAGTATTGTGATGCCCGTATTAGTCCTGTGCCTCGTGTTGTGCGTCCATGCCTCCTAGCTTTCCTATTCTCAACAAAATGACTAACACTTAGGCAGTAAGATTTATGCAGATTATGGAGTTCCTCACCTAGTAATGTACCATAGATAGTCGCTAGTATCTCTGGTAACGTTTATTTGTTCCAAGAGTCCGGCCGCTGTAATCCCTGAAATTTCAGCCGGAGAAGAAAGATCTTCATCATAGGTCTCCCATGAGAACAACTTTGAATTCGTAGGCACCATTTGCGCTTGTGATGTTTGAACTCTAACCTTTATGAAAAAACATGGCAGTGTACTCAGCAACTTGACATAATAGAGTGTGCTGATAAGACTTGTTTCGTGCGGAATCAAGATGGCACAAGACCCTTGAAATGTACTTACATTTGCCGTGTTAAATACTTCTTTTCTGCAATCAGGGAGAATGCTTATAGACCAACGAGGCAAATCATAGTGATTGTTATTAAATGTCACTCTAGCTGAAGACTTGGAATGATAGTTTGCCAGAAAAGCTGCACATGCTCCCGTCCCTGAAGAGAATACATGAGCCTGGAATTTCCAGGAGATCCGTGTCATTCACAAGTAAGGTTGGTTTGCCTATGATTTTTGTAACTAGAAAAAGGTAATGTAATGCTTCACATCACAGACAATAGACCTGCTGATACGTTCCTAGTGAAGTAGTAGTAGGATCCGAAGACACCAAGGCAGGTTCACATTGCTTGATGGCTTGGTGAAGCTCCTTTAAATGACTATATTTAGGTTCCCTGATCAAGCCTATCATGCAAAAATTACTCAACTCTTACTAGTCAAATATAAGAGTACATAGTTTTAAGGGTGTAGTTAGATGCCTAAAAGAAAACTGCCAGAGAAACAAAAACAATCATAAACTCTTCCCGTAATTTTTTTAAAATATTCAAGAAAAATCTTCTCACCATATTCATCAATTGGAGCATCATAATCATAACTTGTAGAGATAAACGGGCCTCCAGCAGAGCGTCCAAAATTAGTTCCTCCATGATACTGTATTTCGTCATTAATCACATAGGTGAAACTCAATTATTTTGTTTTGAAGTTTGCAACAGTAGAGTACAGATACATCATGAGTACCCGTTGATTTTTCATTATGACCAGGGCACATTACGTTTTGATAAATAGCAGTTCATGAGAGGGGACCAACCATGTAGTAATTGACAAGTGAGCCACCCTTTTGTATGAATCGAGCAACTGCAAATGCTAGATCTTCAACTGGTCGTTGATGACTTGGCCCACCAAATTCTGTGAACCTAATGAACATGGGGAAAGCAGGAAGGATAAAAGAAAAATCAAATCTGAGGATTGAAAGAACCGAACTTACAGTTATTCGAGTAGCTTCAAATGTGATATTAAACTTACCAGCCACTCCAAGTCTCGGTCCACAGGGTGGGCTTGTACGGTTTATTAGGAGAGAAATAATCACAGTAAAAACCGTTGCACGTATTTATCTGTCATGAAGAATTAAATGGATCAAATTAAGCAGCCGGTGAAAATAGAATAAAGATGAACTAAAAGAAATTCTATATGTAAAGGTGGGTGAGGCAAATGAGAGGGCTTACCACGGGATCTGGGGCGTCATCTTCCTTGCACATCACCCATGGAACACCCGTATCCAATTTAACTGCCATATTTGCAGCCCAATTTACGTATGCACGACCAGCAGCTCCCAGCTCCCTGCTTTCTGGTCCATACTCGTTCTCAATCTATCAAGCAATAGAGATAAAAAATTATATATATATATATATATAGGAAACTAGGTTACTTATATATGAAGTACAAGATTTCAGTCAGGAAGCGGTATTTGGCAGACAATAGTTGAATAAAGACTTGAGTTACGTAGTTTATTGTAGGAGCCACATATACCTGAGAAAGAATGATTGGGCCCCCCTGAGATTGATATAGCTTTTCATTTTTCATCATCTGGACAATTTTCTGGGTGAAGCCACGCATTGCCGCCTAAGAGATGAAGACAAAGTAAGACAATCGAAGGGTCAGGTAAGTGGGAGAGGAGGGAGAAACAGGATGTGAATGGAATTAGATTTCAACCTTGAAAGGCCCATTGTCTGTTCTGAAGCTGATGCCTGGAACATACTTCAACCATACAGGAAATCCTCTACACATACAAACAATGCGAATCACTAACAATATTCATACCACAGAACTAAACAAGAAATTGAAAGGTTGAAAGTGTGTGTACCCATAGTTCCACTCGGCGCACACATAAGGCCCGATGCGAAGATGAACATAAAGCCCCACCTTCTGCACTGTCTTAATGAACTGCACCAAATCGTATCTCCCTTCAAAGTTGTACTGCAAACCCACAGCAGAAAAATAAGAAAAAACTCAAAAGTGCATGGTAAAAGAAAATGTTTGGTTTGATTTAATTCGAGAAATGAACTGCAAAGAGAAGAAAATGAATTGAATCAGCGTGCAGAGGAGAACCTTGCCAGGAGATGGTTCGTGGACATTCCAGAAGACATAAGTGTCAATGACATCTAGGCCTCCATCTTTAGCCTTCTGAATAAGATTCTCCCACATCTACGGTACCGCGCATTTCAGACATAAAAAGCTCATTGACGCCATTATCAACAAATGAGAGATACAAATTCGACGAGAGCAACTAAAAAGAAGGCATACTTGTGGAGTGCTTCTGGGATAGTGAATGGAACCAGAGATGAGAATTTTCCTTTGACCATTGATGATGATGGCCTTTCTATCATAAGTTACGCTGCAATGGGTCAGTTCAGAACACAAAAACAAGGTCGTGAAGAACAATATCAGCAGCTTTGGAGTCAAGATGCTTTGAATGCTCTCCATATCTCTGAGCTAATTGGAGGGAACTTTGAAAAGATAACTCAGGGAGGCGCAATGTGGTGTTCTTTCTGCCTCTGCTTTAATATTCAGCAAACACAACCACTGTGTTTGTTATGTGTGTTATTATTCTTTGGCTAACCACTCTGCTCTCACCACATATATTTAGTTTTTTTTAGGGTAATAATGTATTTGGGTTTGGTAACAATTATTAGAAAATAGCGGCATTGTCAGACGAGGGAGGGGCATTCTGCGGACAACGAACACTATCGTGAGGTTAAGAAGTACAAAGTAAATATTGCTCGTCCCATGAAACCGTGTTGCGGGCTTGAATTTATTTTGAGAATATCTAAAGCAGCAGCAGCAGAAGTCCGGTCCCCCATTTCTTATAAGCCAAAAGAAGCAAAATATCTTGTCGGGTGACAAAATTTGATGACCGCGGCATCAATATCCGAAGGAAGTTATTAACATTAACAGTATGCTTCCATATTTGGCCCCAAAAAAAAAAAAAAAACAGTATGCTTTCATATGGAGGAATGGATAATTTGAAATGCCAGGCACTTGTTGTGTAATGTCAGTCGGAATGGGGTGGTTGAACATGGATAGTTAAAGCACCTGAATGAAATGATACAAAAGATCATAAAGAAACTTTAGTTTTTTTTTTTTTAAATAATGGGGGTAGGGACTAATTTTCATAAATGTTGAGCAATGATACCACTTGGACCCGCTTTGCAACTTACTTTGTTGTGATGTGCCACAGTACTCTTGCTTCAACATCACAATGCCATCATTAAAGCTTAAACTTGTTGTTACCAGCTATGGCAAAACAAGTTTTTCCACACGGCATCATATATATGTAATCGCCTTCTTACCCTTCTAAGCTTTCCGCATATGTATAACTAGATTTGACGTGTTAGTACGTGTATATATGCTTTGGGAAAAAGAAAATGCTCGTATTTGAAACAGAAGCCTTGTTATGGGGAAGGCCCCACCCACAAATAATAGAACTACGTAAGGGGGATTCCAGCACAAAGCCAGCCTCTCCATTCCATTTGTCTTTTGTGACCTGTGAGGGAATCCGACCTAATGTTTGGCTGTTTCTCTTCTCTTTTGTTTTTACTTCCTGTCGCCATATGCTCCTGCTCCTGGCCTTTCTTTCTATTTTCCCCTCGTAAAATAAATAAATGAAAAGAAGGCAGTTTTTGTTTAATGTCAAATTATTTCAGCATTTTTTTAAGAAAAGATCACAAAGAAAAAGACAGCTGAAATTGAAAAATTGTACACAGAAACTTGTTCATAAAAATTATTATCAAAACACATACTAATATTGTAACGGGTGTTTATTTATATTTTTTTATTTTGATAGTCTTTTTTTTTACGATTTTCTCTTTTTTAATATCTTTTTACTTTTTCTAAGATCATCAATCCGTACGTAAAACTCATAAACAAATATATTATTCATAAATTATGAATGTTTTATCTTGAGCTTTCATTTGATGCAACACACGCACAATTCACGAAGAGTAATCATGTTATGCACTGTCTCCTCCATTTCTTAACATAATAGTTGATTTCATTTTTATTTTGATTTTAAATATAAAATTTTAATTTATTTTGTTTTTATATTTATTTATTTATTTTAAGATAATCGTTGTAATAATGATAGTTCTAACCAATAAATTTGATTAGCAAACATATTTTAGAAAATACAATACTTATTTATTACAAATAACCTGCTTAACTAGTTTATTTAATCTACTGAAGTTGTTAACTGGTTCTTATATTAAAAACCAGAGATATTATTAATTATGAATTAAAAATATAATAATGATGACTTGTTTTAAACACTTGATGATGTGCAAGGTTCATACTATTATTCAATCACACGGTACGAGCATGGAGGCATAGAGACGGTGGGTTAGAGTTGATGGTTTATCTTATTAATGCACTGTTACGTTGAATATCTGCGCTCTTACTTCACCTTCAACTCCACAGGGGGAACAAACAGAAGAAAGCAAGGGTACATGGACGCTCAAATATAATCTTTCAAGTCTGGGAACTGGGATGTTATAGTTTGTACGAGTACGTTGATTTAGTACAATGTGGTTAGTTTTTTAATTAATACGTATTTCAAAAAATGATCGGATCATCGATGCTCGATCCTCGTTGCTCGAGAGTCCAAACCTGATGAGGGAGACTCCGTAACGTCGCCGTTTGTCGGCGAGGGGTACCCACGGGCTACTGCTTGGACAGAATGGAGCATCTCCGTTTATGTCGGCAGGCACTGCGCAGTGAGATTAGATTATATGACGGAGGCCCCATCTCAGTCGCTGCTGCCGCCGCACGTTACATGCAGTGCAAATGCGTTTGTCTGAGAAAGTCAATTCTCAGATTTATTATCATCTTTTGTCTAAATTATCCTCTCGACTGTGATTATAACATATTCTTTTCAAAAAATAATTTCAATGCATATCGTTAAAAAAATTAGTTTGAGACCCACGTTTGTTATAATAAACAAATTTAACTAATTTTCTTAAAAATTATTGTAATAATTATAGATGTTAAATATTTCTTCAAATAGTAATTCTAACTAATACACTTGATTAGTAAAAATATCTTAAGAAAGATAATATATAATTATTATAGATAATTAATCTAATTATTTTTTTAATTTACTCAAATTAGTTAACTATTCTTTAATATTAGTATTAAGGACGGGAGGCGCCAATCGTTCAGAGACTTCATGTTTAGACTCGTCTCGGGTGTCCCTCTCTCCCTTGAACAGTGGGGATGCATCATAGGTTGAAAAGGCCTGGGACGGCGGGCATAAAATGATCATCATCCAGCTACACTCTCCAGAAGCGATGCCATGGATAGATAGAAGCGAGGTCCGGGATATGCACGATGACCATGTCTCGGGAAGTGTTTGGAAAGTCCAATAAACACTTTTTAAAAATATTTTTTTTATAAATCGAGACAAATTTTTTTATATATTTATTTATATACTGTAAAAGTATTTTTAAAATTATAGTTTCGATCTTACTCAAATATTTTTTTAATCGGAAAAATTCTGTGGATGTTAGAAGCGTCCCTGGCCAGTGGAAGTCCAGCATGGAGACAGGGATGACAACAAGATGACAGATGCAGTACCCACGGAGGCTCTCGGGGGGCCTTTGGGCCTCCAAGGCCTGACTCTACAAGAGACATCTTAAAAGAGGCTGACGTTAGCTAGATGCCAGCTCTATTTTCAGTTAATCATAAAACAAAACAAAAAAAATGTTTAACCGCGGATAGTATAAAAACAGCATATTAATAAAATTTAAATTATTAAATTTTGAATTTGAATTGTAGGAATAAAATTATGTGTATGCGCACACTTAAAACAAAAAAAATAAACAGGTAGATATGACAGAAAAAGAAATTAAAAATTATAAGTTCCAAATCAGGTTTGATAACACTATTTTATTTAGTATTGACAAGTCTAAATTTATAAATAATAACACATTCTTATTGATATTTTTTATTTGGTATTTATAAAAGCTTTTTTATTTTGTCATTGTCTCGAATAAACATGAGTCCCATGCGAGAAATAACACATTTTTCACGGGCTGGTTCTTTAAAGCGAGAAACAGGGAGCATGAGCAGGTACCGCGTGATAAAAAATACTAGTACATATCAAACACAAAATAAAGACCAATCAAATGAATAAACAATAGCTTAAGCCTTTGGGTTACTCCAGTACATAGGCTCCTCCTTGACAAGTTGGCTCGTTTCCCTCACTTCTTCGTTCTTCCGTGCAAAATGTGGTTAAACTTAAAATCGGTTGATAATTTTCATGTTATCAATAATTAATAAATATTATAATAGTATTTTGTTGAAGGAAATTATCATAATACTACAAAATTATTTTTATTAAAACATCTAATGTGCATCTCAAAGTCTAATGGTAGTGTATTTCTTCACAGTTTGAAGAAAAAAAAGCTATAATTATGAAGTACTCCTCTGGTCCTGAATGCAAAACCTTTATACACATGTGTATAAGGGTCTTGCATTCAGAACCGGAGGAGTACTTTATTAAAATAATAATCCTCATGTTTTAAATGTTAGATTTTAATTTACAATATAATTTATACTATAAAATCAATTTTATATTTAAGACTTTTTTGGGAGGAGGGGGAGGGAAGTAATATGTGAGGGGCATGCGGGTAGCAATTGAGACTCGAGAGGATGTGAAAAATAGCAGAAAACACTGCCAGCGTCCATTCTTCAGTTGGGCTGATGACGTGTTTTGACGTTGGCAAGTTTTTTAAGCAATAAAATAATTACATCAGAACCAACAGGAGTTAGGTCTTGCGGAAGGGGCTAGTTTCCCACAAAGTGGTGAACCAAAGTTCGAATCCTCGCTGGAAGAGGTGCTCACATTTAGTGCCTTGAATAGGATTGTTTCCAATAAGAGGATACCTATACTTTAGCAAAAAAAAAAAAAAATTACATCAGCAATTGGGTTTTTTTGGGGGGGTCCAATAAGTTTGGTACAAATAAATTTATCTGAAGGAAATCAGCTGTCAGGGGATGTAGCTCAGATGGTAGAGCGCTCGCTTAGCATGCGAGAGGTACGGGGATCGATACCCCGCGTCTCCATCTTTATCCTTCGAAGAAACTTTTGTGTGCGGCCCATAATTCCTGACCTTCTGGCTGGCTTCATATTTATAGCCTAGTTTTGTCTTTGAAGGCCCAAAAGTTCTGGGTTTTAACTTTTCCATTTCGGACCAGCCAGGGGTTATGAGTTGGACCAAAATGAAAACTGAGAGGGAGAGATATCGGCCTAACTTTTGGATCAAGAGAATTACTTTATTCTCACAAAATCCACAAATGGCTCTTATTTCCCGAGACCCTTCTATTCTATGTAAATGTAATTTCATACTCAGCTATCACCTTTACTTTAATTTTTTGAAAAATCTTAATCCCTTGGGAACTAGTCACCAAAGCTTAATTGATTTGTTACATTATCGATGATTGATAATTGGTTTTGCATAAATTTAAATTCAAATCACATAAAACACCCTAACTTTTAAGTTCAGCGTACATGAATTCTTTAATTTTTATAATTTGATAACGAATCGTCCTTAATCTTTACATTTATATGGATAACATTCTCATTAATTTGCCTGCCATTTCACTAACATAGTGAGATGCATGCACTCGCTAGTCATTACCACATTCCCTCTAATTGTT